TCATTTTAGTTTGACACTCGAATACCCAAATTTCGAACCAATGACATGCGTCGCCGGTAAGCTGGCTGTGTTCTACGTGGGACTCCTGCTAGGTTATTTAATGCTGTTCCGATGTTCCCGTGTCCTCATTACAGCCCTTAATTCACTGAGATCTGTGCATGTTGCTGTGCAATAACTGTAAGAAAAGCCACCAAACACATTTGTTCAAGTTCCTGTTTTTTTTTTACTTGGCAACATTTCTGTGTTAAATCACTGCGTAGTTTATTGGTGCGTAGTCTAGAGAAGTTTGGCTTTCTTTTTTGTAGAAGACACCCTGCCAGAAGCACTCAGCTTCTTACAAACATCTCTCGTAAAAAAGTGCATTCTCAAAACAACGTATGAGTGTACAATCTCCGATGTCAGGATGTCCTTATGAACTGAACAACCAACGCTTGGAACATCGCAGTCTTTGATGACATCCAGCGCATCCCAAAACATGTCGGCGCACAGATGGTTTTCTCCTAGCACGAGAGACAGTTTTTCTTCGACGCGTTTCAACATTGTGTAAAGTTCTGTAGAGGGATGCTTGAGGCTTCCGTTCCTGAATTCTCTTGCCAATGTCAGTAGTGAAGCGGGGAATTTAGTGTTTGTTGACTGGATGCTGCTTATGCAAGCAGCGCAGTTGACGTGCTTCAGAAAAGAATGTACAATGTAGCCGCAGAGGTAATATACGACGCACTCCTGTACTGCTGGCAAAGCATATCCGTGGTCCGGAAGCGGTGTCGGTCCCGAGTGGGATGCTGAACTTATTCCAGGCAAGCAAACCTCGGAAATCTTTGCGCTGATTGTCTCACGCAACTTTTCATACGTTGCCAGCTGCTGCTTCTTCCCTTGCTTCATCGTCTCTTGCACTGTGGCTAGTATTAAGGTTGGCTCCTCTTGGACATTGCCTGCAATCGAAGCCTTGACAGGTGTGTACAGGCTCAGCAACCTGTAGATATGGGAAAAGCTCAGGATCGTCGGATGGTCTTCGTCACCTCCAAAGCTCCTGGTGATTCCGAAGAACCTCTGTAATGGTAGTAATAAAGCCGTACGTCAGTTCACCGTATGTATCTCTTTCAGAAGTCAAAGTACGCATGGCGTATGGAATGCATAAAGAGGATTTATAGAGTGCAAGTCTCAGGCGGGAATTGCACATCTCACATAGAGATATGACGACTGTTTAAAACCACGCTATGCTTCCTCATAACCGTTTTGTTTATTTTCCATGCAATGAAGTAAGTGCGCAGTTTTATGGAATTATGCTAATCTCACCTCCAAGGGGTCTTGATTAAGCTTGCCTGTGAGCACGTAGCGTGCACCTTTAGCAAGGAGGTCATTTGTTAGTTCCAAGATAGATGACAAAGTCACCCTTAGAGACTCCATTGTTACTTGAGATGCGAACATGGCTGTTCCTTTCTCAACGTGGTTTCTCTCTGTCAAGTCCAAGATAATCATGAAATCTTGGATGATCTAGAAAAGGGAAAAGTTTATGTTAGACATTACTTTTTTGTGCAAGCTAGCTCTTACATGCAAACGTCGACGCCTATAAAAAAAGGGACCTTTGAAGAAAGGCATAAAGTTATTTTTAACCTGATTTTTTAATGAAACATGTGTGCCACTGAATGAAAATGGAAGCTGGTAATACTTGAAATCACGCTTGCGGCGTGTCGCCTTCTCATCGACGTTTATTTCAGTTATCTGGAAGGAGAAGTTCTAAGTTCCAAGACATTTATTCGTCGTCTTTCTTTCAATAATACCTTCCTTCAATTACAAAATAAATGTCTACTTAAACTAGGCTTTTGTTGGTGTAAATGTTTGTCGGCGTTTTGTATTTTATTTATATGCCCAGTGCCTCAGTTCTTGATTAACATTACCTATTGCGAATGTTCTTCAAAAGTAGCACATTTTATCGCCCTTGCCTTAATTTCCTTGGATGTGCTCCTTATCCCAAAACGAGGAAGCTTGATGTTCAGGGCATCAAAAAGGTCATTTATGATGCGGGTAAACGCGGCTGTCCCCTCGCAGTCTTCCAGGCCATCTTGCTTGAGTCTCCGGTACACATCAAGGCCGATAGCCGTACTTCGGCTGAGCAGCTAGGGGACAGAAAACGTATAGGGGCATTTTATTAATCGCAAAAAGACTTAAGGAGAACACTTCACAGTACCAGTTAAGTTTGTGTTTCACATGTGAAGAATTTGCCTAAATAATCAGGTAAGCTATAAGTTCTTTCAAAAGCAGCTTTTCGTAATCTTACCTGTACTGCGAGCTTCACACTCATTTTTCTCATGTTGTCAGGGCAGACGTGTTCAGCGGTAAGCTTCGGAACAATGCGGAGTTGCTCTTTGCCGTCTACTTCTTGCAAAACTCGGTAGTGGTCATAGTTTATGCGATGTTCACCAATCTATGAGCAAGAAGAAGAGAGGGAAAAAAAAAGTCCGTCAGTCGTATGTAGTGCTGCGAAGAAAATGTATTTTGATTGGCACCGCGACACTATTTATTGCGATATTGTACTGTACGTGGTACTTACCATGCCATATTTGTGTCGAAGAAGATGGTTTCTAATGCATTTGACAATGTGGGGTACATCGCAAAGGAAGTAGAGGCTTTGATTTGGCTCGCATGGGTGCTGAACTTTGTGGTTTGCTGTGTGAAGCTTTCCTGATATGCCAAAGTTGGACCACATTGCTTTGTTCGTGCTGGCGCCATCACTGATTACTGCGACGACTATGGCGTTGTGTTTGCGTAGCTGCACGATTGCATCAAGAACTATTTTGGCGAGCACGTGTCCGGGGGCTGCGTTTTTTGTTGCAAAACTTGCAATCGGTTGAACCCATGAGTGGAATAGAGGCACAAACATTGCAACCAATGCATGATCAGCAGTAGCTGCTGAAACTTCACCGTCTCCGTAATTTACGAACCCATCAATCTTGTATGTTTGACGGTTGAAAGCTACGGCTTGGCGTACCTTCATTTCATCTATTACTAGTGTGCCGTAACACTGGACTCCTTTCATAGTCTTCATGAAAGCCCCTATGCTGGAAAGGGAGAGCTTATTAAAGCCAAACTCACAAGGCATTCCTCTTATTATTTGTCGGAGCCTAGTCGAAGTTGGAAGAGGGAGGATTTTCATTCTTGACATCAAGCGGTACACACGTGGGCTTGAAATCTTCAAGAGAAGGCAACTCAGCAGCCACCCACAGTCATACCGCACACCTCTTGAAGATTTCGCTTTCATCGACTGCAGTGCTGTCCGAAATGCAAGTTGCTGCAGTGGTGGAAGTTCAGCTAAAACCTCGCTCAACAGTGCATTGCTTGGATCTGATGACAACTTTTTTTTCAAGCTTAGCAGGTCCCTCTTGTATTTCTCCCGCAGCACTGTTGCTCTTATAGTCTTCTTTCTTAAATTTCTCAACAGCGCAGATGGCAAAGGCACGTACTTGCTCTTTCTTGAACGTCGTTTCTGCCTGCACTGCAAGTTCTTTTTTGCTTTCCTGCACTGAACGCATAAGGCTTTCGCCGACAGCACTGCACATCGCTTGCTTCTCCATGTTCTCCCAGACCTTTCAGCCGTCTTAGAAGTTGATATTAAAGGACATAAACGAGAATCAAAACCATTGCAGATACCCAGGCTCTCAATGAGATGAAGAAAGGGCGCTGCGTCTTTCAAGGTGGTAAAATTGAGCTTGTCACTGTTAATAAAGGTGTAAGACGATTCCGGCACAAGTTTCCCTTTAGCGCTGACAACAACGGTCGAGTTTTTGTTTATAACGACAGCTCTTTCAATAAAAACTACGCCACCAATTTCTTGAAGTTTGTAAAAAACAACACGCTCATCCGTGTGTTGCACACACCATGCTCCATACACGGGCAAGTCTTCTATGCCACCAAACCAATGTTCACCTGTGGAGCTTTCTTTCATGATGACTTCCATGCTTTCAGCATTTGAGGCAGCCCTGTTTTCGTGTTCAAGCATTTCAGTGCACGTCTCACTTTCACTCTGAAGAACTGGGGTAATGTCATCTTCGGCCACTAGCACGCTTGCTGCATTTGTGCCAACATTTTCTACACAAAGCTTCAAATCAAGCTCAGCGCAATTAGCAAAATGCCGCGGTACCGCACCTTTCTTCAGTTCCCAGCGTCCTCGCGGAATCGAGACTGTTTCGCCATTCACAACATGCTGGAAGGAGGTGCAAATGTCCGCTTCATCAAAGTGACGATCACATATGTATGATCTTTGAGTAACTTCGAAGTTTGCACGGCCTGCCGCATTGTTCCACTCCCTCAGCACATTGGGGTCTTTCGGTGGCTTGAAAAAGTGTCGCTGCACGAAGGGCACTTCATTTGACGTTGCCGATGAATATCCACTTCGACAGCCTGGCACAGCACACCTCGGCATGCCGACCGTTCTCCCGAAGGGAGCAAAATTCAACCGCGAACAATTGCTTGCTCAGAGTCACCGTCCGCTTTCTCTCCAGAAAGCAGAACAGCGTAAACATTATCGTCTGCTCTGTCATGGTTGAAATTTAATGCATAAGGTCTGTTACGAAACAACGAGCCAGCCTTTTTTTTATATTTAGGTTACTTAACGTTACTTAATTTAGGTTACTTAACCATTATTACCAGCAGGGAAAAAATCGTCTGCAAGCGCAGGCCCTGCTAGCCGCGTCGCTGCTCCGTCTGCTCCGCGCGATGCCGGCTGCGCGGCGGAGAGGTCACGTGACGTGGTCGCAAAGCGATGCCAGCGACACCTGGAATGGGCGACGATTTGCGGCCGCCTCCTCGCGCGAGTTTTCCAACTGTCCTCATCCAGTAACGTTGCTTTTGAGTAATTCTACTCTCCCAATGGAATTCACCATTAGTTACAGCGTTGAAAACGCCTGTGACTAAAACCGCGAATATGGTTGCACCAAATGAAAGAATAAATGGAAGTTTCAAATTCGAATCTAGCTTTTGCAGAGGTTCTTCTCGTACGTGCTCACCTGTAATGATTGTCCCATCACCACACAACAGAGCCGCGCCAACACGAACCTTGCTGTAGTTGCAGTAAGACCTGGCGCGCATATCTTGAGCGATTTTCACGAGTTGCTGCGCTTCCTGGTCGGCTGAAAAACGGAAAGGCACCGGGTTGCTTCATGACCACATAAGGAGCGCTGTAGTACGTACCCATTCTCAGCGCGACGTCCCGCACATTCAAGAATGACGGCTACGATTGCTTTGTCCTTGTCCTCATCAAGCGCGTTGCCGGGGACGGCTTTAGTAGTCTGTTTTCATTCGTCAATCTCCTCGTCGCATTTTGCCATGATCGTTTGGAGCTGCGTAAAAAAGGCGGTACTGTGTAAAGGGTGTTCGTGCGTACGTGCCCCTGACGCGTTCACAACTGCGTCGCTCAGCCAATTTCAAGAGTGGGTATGCGCCACAGAGCATATGCTAGTTGATGTGATAGGGCTCAACTTGCCTCATTGCTGGACCGGCGCAGCTGTTTCGATCGCGCGTCCACGAAGTCGTCTCGCTTATCTCCACCTGTGGCGTAGTCTGTATAGGTGTTCTGTGGCTTAGTTGTGCAATATCACTCTGCTTATCAGTCGTACACTGTGTTGGGAAGGAGCGCGCCCCGTCTTTGAAGCTAAGATTATAAATATATAGCAGATGCTTTCGCAATTGGTGGGGGGGGGGGGGGGGGGGGGCTCGACTCGAATGCCTGTCGCGATTTCCGGCAGGTCCCATGCAGGAAAACGCTTGGAACCATATTTTTATGTGCGTGTACATAACCAAAGGCGCACAAAGCAAGCAAATTTTTTATTTGTTTATACTTAGCGTGTCACTTTACGGAGATTTATCAGCTTTCCGCCGCCCATTATTATTTCTTTTCACTCTGATAACTTTTTATGTTAAATTGGGATTACATGCCTAGAACTAATTTGCATTTTCCGAATAAGTAAACATCCCTATAGTTTATGCATATCCATAGGGATAAGCAACCACGATATAAAAGGCGGCACACTCTGGTTGTCGCCATATTTCAACGAAACTGCGCAATAAAATTAAATGAATACTTGCGGCGATGTTGCAGCTTGTAAACAACTTGTGTTTACGCGTATTACGCGTAAGACGTTGTAATTGTACACACGGGAACGATTTGGCAGTCATTTAGAGAACCCTAGAAAAAACAGCTAGCTCGCCGGCGCTCAGATTACGCAGAGCGCTGACGAAAAGAAACGGCGTCAGGACCAAAGCCGCAATAGCCAACATTCACTAGGCTCAACAAAATTCAAACACGGAGAAGTAACCTTATAGAGCAACAGGCCCAGGCACAGCAGCACACGTGCAGATGTTAGACAAATTAAGTTGCGCGCCCGGAGCAGCCGTACGGACGCAGCCTGCCAGTCATTCGTAATGGGAGGCAGCGTCCGTACGGCTACTGCTGACGCGCAACTCTGCTGTTTTCTTGGCGATACGCCTACGTACGTTGTCGCACGCGCGAGGACAGTACGCATATCAGCCTCCGTTTTAAATGCGAATGCATTTCTCAGTCGGGCTATGTCACGGGGAAGTGATTCTTAAAAGAGAGAAAAGAAGAATTAGTGAGATTCGTAACTGTCTTTCAGGGGGCAGACACCTCTACAGTAGCGCACGAGGGATGGGGGTAAAAAGAAATTAAAAGGATAGAGAGGAATTAAAGGTATAGAGATAGAGAGAGGCGCAGGCACAGAGAGACCACATACGGAAATAAGGAGAAGATAGGAAAGATGGACACGGTGGCAGGAGTCCGAGGACGAGGCATTACTCAGCGAGAGCTCTTATCGGCGTCAGTAGATTGCGTAGGACGAGCCGGCCGGACAGAGCTGCGCTGTCGTCGGAGATCGCGGGGGCACAACCGGTCGGCACGAAATACAGCGAGCAAGTCAATACGCATGTCAGCCTCCTTTTAAATGCGAATGCATTTCTTAGTCGGGCTATGTCAGGCATCCAGCGTTTGTCCGCGCGCCGGCAGGTGTGATCTCTCCGCTCCCTCTCCCACAGCAACAGCAACCGAACTCCGGAGCATGTGGTGCGAGAGAGTGTAGGAGAGGGTAGGTGCAGCACTTTGCCGGTTCTTCTCTCCCCGTTCGCTCTCTCTCCTCCCCGCGCCTCATTTTCCCGTCCGCTCGCGCCTCACTCTCGACCATCAGGCGCTGCACTGTGGGAAGGCAGTGATTTTAAATGAAAAGAGAAAAGTGAGCCCCGTAACTGTCTCTCTGGGGGAGGTCTCCTCAACAGTAGCTCGCGAGGGGCCGGGGTTAAACAGGGATTAAAAGGATGGGATTAAAAGGTAAAGGGAGAGAAGAAAGAGAGAGCGAGGTGCAGGGACAGCGAACGACGGAAGTAAGAAGATAGGAAAGATGAACACGGTCGCAGAAATCCGAGGACGGGGCACCAATCGGCGAGAGCTCTTGTCGGCGTCAGGAGATGGCGTAGGGCGAGCCCAGTCGGCCAAAGTTGCGCTGTCGTCGGAGATCGCGGGGGCACAACCGGTCGGCACGAAATCCAGCGAGCAAGTCAATACGCATGTCAGCCTCTTTTTTAAATGCGAATGCGTTTCTTAGTCGGGCTATGTCAGGCATCCGGCGTTTGTCCGCGCGCCGGCAGGTGTTATCCCTCCGCTCCCTCTCCCACAGCAACTGAACACCGGAGCATGTGGTGCGAGAGAGTGTAGGACAGGGTAGGTGCAGCGCTTCGCCGGTTCTTCTCTCCCCGTTCGCTCTCTCTCCTCCCTGCGCCTCATTTTCCCGTCCGCTCGCGCCTCACTCTCGACCATCAGGCGCTGCACTGTGGGAAGGCAGTGATTTTAAATGGAAAGAAAAAAGTGAGCCCCGTAACTGTCTCTCAGGGGGAGGACTCCTCAACAGTAGCTCACGAGGGGTGGGGGTTAAACAGGGATTAAAAGGTAAAGAGAGAGCGAGGTGCAGGGACAGCGAACGACGGAAGTAAGAAGATAGGAAAGATGGACACGGTAACAGGAGTCCGAGGACGGGGCACCAATCGGCGAGAGCTCTTGTCAGCGTCAGGAGATGGCGTAGGGCGAGCCCAGTCGGCCAAAGTTGCGCTGTCGTCGGAGATCGCGGGGGCACAACCGGTCGGCACGAAATCCAGCGAGCGAGTCCCGCTGCGCAATGCTCCGTCTTCTAACCACTACCACACGTGTTCTGTGCTGCCACCACCACCACTCTCGACCGTTCGCTGGCTGGGCGCCTCTCAAGAACATCCGAAAATGGTGCTCGAGACGCCGCTAAGAAACGCCGAGCCGTGAAGCAGTTTTTTTTTGTTGTTGTTCACTTCAGAGAATTTTTTGAACCGTGCACGCTAGTTACAAGAGCTGGAAACGCAAACCGCATTTCTCGCGACAGAAAAATGTTACGAGTGGCGAACGGCGCTATTGGCTGCACAGTGTAAGAAGAAGAAGAAAAAAAAAGAAACATTGTTTTTCTAACACTGGATTCTCACGTGCGAAACGAAGCTATGGGCTCTACGCAATGCATTCGCATTTCCTCATGATTCCCTTCGGAGAAGTGGGGGCACTCGTAAATGCGAAGAATTATTTAGCGAACTTCGACGACTTAGAGCGTATCTATCTATCTAGCCGCCAACGACTTTCAGCTCTCCTGGCCGTTCCGATAATGCTTTCGATACCAAACTTGGTATGGCATAACATGACTGTATGAAGAACATATTTGACTAGTCATAACATGAAAATCATGACATGTCATGATTTACACGTCATGGTCCTGCAGCTCTTGCGGTGGTTTCGTTCACATGGCATGTTGCAAAACTAGTATATGGTATGACATGATTGAGCGGCGAACACAAGCGACAGACCCTAACATGAAAATCATGACATGCGTGTCATGTAACAACATGACTACATGCCACGCTCATGATGCTCGCGGCCGTTTCGCTAACGTCACATATATACCAAATTTTGTATTACGGGACGTGAATGGATGACGAAGGTATGATACTGGTGCAAACATGATGATTATGACATGCATGTCATGTAACAACATGACTACATGATACGCTCATGATGCGCTCGCGGCCATGTCGCTAGCTTCACATGTACCAAACTCGGCATTACGCGACATGAATGGACAACATAGGTAAATGACACATCCAAACATGATAATCACGACATGCGCGTCATGTAACAACATGACTACATGCCACTCATGATGCGCTCGCGGCCATTTCGCTAGCTAGATTCACATGCGCCAAATTTGGTATTACGTGACGTCAATGGATGACGAAGGTACGTGGTGCAAACATAATAATCATGAGATGCGTGTCATGTGAGAACATGATCGCCCTGACTACATGCGCCTTGACTACATGCCACAGTCAAGGCGCCAATACATTTTGACGTGACGCGGTGCGCGTGCTCGCCGGCGTTGCCACGCCAGGCGCCGGTGCGCGTCGCGCTTCGTTGCTTTGACGCATGCGCGTTTCAGCGCGTCCGGCGTCCCCCCGTCACGAAAAGAGGGAGACCCAGGGTTGTCTGGGTAACGCATCGGCGCAAAATGCAGCATGTCGCATTTCGCGCAAGTTGCCGTCGGGCCGCGCCGACGGCCGCTGGTCGCGCCTGGCGTCAGACTACAGAGTACTCGCGTTTCGCTAACGTATACCGTCGCTGTGCTGCAGCGCGCGCGCGCGTCAACGTTACGTTGGAGTATATTGGGCCCTTCATGATGCGCTCGCGGCCATTTTGATAGCTCCACATATACCAAATTTGGTGTGACGTGACGTCAATGGATGACGATATATGTGACTGGTGCCAACATGATAATTCTGACACGCGTGTCATGTGGGAACATGACAACATACCACGCTCATAGCGTGCGCGTTTCGCTAGCTACACATATATTGGCATCAATATACACTGGAGAAAGGGGTGGGGGGTCATTAGTGTTTGTTTTTACTAGCACGAAAATCCCCATGATAGCATAAATACTAGCTGTTACTTTGTACTCACAGTGGTCCCACTCATTAGCCCTAATCGTGATAGGAGACAGACAGCAAGAACAGGAGAGGGAGGTCGGTGGTGACAGGCTTTGAGGGAGGGGGGGCGATCGCCCTTACTGTCCCCCTCTCTGAATCCACAAGTGGACACGAGTGCTCTTCGAGAACACATCGAAATGTTGATTCTTGGATGAATATCTTGGAAAATAAAAGTGTATCTTAAAATCACTAAATGCTGTAATAATTTATAGTAAGCTGCTGTTTTCACATTGCAATCTTCTTGGGGCAAGCCAAAAATGACTGGTTTCGACAGAACACGTGTTTGATACTTACACTGTTTCTCAAGTGCCATGACAATGGATGCTGCTGCTGTTGAAAGTGTTACTCAAGTGACCATTGGCATCAAGCATTAACAAGATGATCAGCTATGTGTGAACTATCCAGCGAAGGATAAATCGAAGGATAAATGGTCCCACAGAAATGAGCGGGGTACTGGTCAAGATTATTTGACAAGGTTGAATTAGGCAAGATAACAAATTTACAAGCCTTATTAATGGTAGTCTACTGCATTTTAAAATGGCATATACAGAGAAAAAGGTGAATCCTTCGTGAAGAGCAAAGCAAAGATAATGGCACTTAACAGCTCAGCTTATTCAGACAAGACCTAACCTGAATGAAACATACATCTTTCACACAAGTGAATACCGCTGTAAGATTCAAATATGCAGTGATGCTCAGCAATTGTTACAGTTCGATATACAAAATATGTACTCCTGGAACTTCACAAGTTAAATTTTTGTGTCATGATTAACAAAACTGATTGTAATCAAATCCCTCTTGTTTTGCTACACACTTCACTGATGTGTTTTCAAGGGATGTTATCTTGATAGTGTATTCTTGGGATTTTGCCAGAATTTAAATCCTGGTACTCCTTCATTTGATTGATTTGTGGGGTTTAACGTCCCAAAACCACCATATGATTATGAGAGACGCCGTAGTGGAGGGCTCCGGTAATTTTGACCACCTGGGGTTCTTTAACGTGCGCCCAAATCTGAGCACACGGGCCTACAACATTTCCGCCTCCATCGGAAATGCAGCCGCCGCAGCCGGGAATCGAACCCGCGACCTGCGGGTCAGCAGCCGAGTACCTTAGCCACTAGACCACCGCGGCGGGGCTGGTACTCCTTCATTTGGCTATGTGGGCATTATCCAGGCATGTTAGCTGAGCAAGCATGCATTCATGGGATTGCACGGCTATGGGTGAGAGAACGATAGAAAAAACAGAAGACTTGTTAGAAACAACGGAAGCATTGCATAGTAGCACAGCACAGCAATGAGTGTAAAGCACTGCACAACTACCATGTCTGCTGCAGTACATATAGCAAGGGGCTGGGAAAGGGAAGTGAGCAAGGCCACTTTCTACAGTCTTCGCCCCAATTTTTTCCAGTGACTGCTCTGCCTCGTTTATAAAATAGTTTCATTTTGTGCCACTGCATTGCTGCAAAATGAACTTTTGAACCTGTAATAAAAGAGAAGGGAAAAGCTGTCCGACATGCCATAGCCTGTCACTAAAATATTACCCGCTGAAAACTAGTACGTAATTTCAGGGCAAATATCACAGTAATTGTTATGAAGGATTCTGTGGGAGGAAACTCGCGAGTTTATTTTTGTAGTATCGTGCGGTGGACGCGACGCATAGAGAACACAGAGCACGGCACTGAAGCGCCAGCCGACAAGAAGTACGCAGCAGCCGGTAGCCAAGCAGGAACTCCGTTTATATAACACAAGCATGCTTGAGTCCCTAAACTGGAAACGAAACCACGACACGACATCATCATCCCCCCCCCCCCCCCTGAAATGAAGATGTGGGGTTTTCCACGCAACCAATGCATAATAATACAATGCACAGAATACACAGAAGAGTAGGAAAATGTACAACATAATGCATGAAGAATTACACAGTAAACACGCGAAAATACATGGGTAATGCACACTGGAGAAGGAATAACAAGCACACACTGCACGTAGCACAACGACCGAAGAATTAAAAATATGTAGCATGCAGACCAACAATACAACCACAAGGTACATTGCCAAATAACCGACACATCATTCCCTCCCCTGAGAGAGGATGTCTGTAAGTCACTGTCATGTTTGAGTGCATGGCGTCAACGCCTGTAGCGGTGCCATTTTAACAACAGGCGCCTGAACTGCCGCCGCCCACAGCAGTCCGGTGTAGCGACAGAATAGGCACATGAACTTTGCATCCAGGGTGCCTTCCGCATAGTTGGGGCCGGAACAGACAGGTAACGACTCTCCGATGCGGCATGGCTCGGCGCCATTGATGCAGAACCGAAGCCGTGAGCAGGAACGAGCACGATAGGCGTAGACGCGACCAGCGGAGGAACCTCTGCAGCATGCAGTATAGGAACTAACTCTAGAATCACAGCTGGAACGCTTGGTGGATGCACCTCCAGCGCATTGAGAACAGACACAGCATCCCGGAGGCTACTACAAGCCGAAACACGCACAGCTGGGGCGGAATCAGCAGCAGGCTGAGTGGATGAATGACCGAAGCAGGCCGGGGTCACGCTGGATTCATCTGGATGAATGACCGAAGCAGGCCGGGCTCATGCAGGCTGTGCAGAATCTGGTATTGTATCATTGCATCTGCTGCAGTGCCGAAATTGCAGTTGTTGGCCAACCGCCGCAGCGCTAGAATGAATTAGACGGCAGTTTCGTCCGACTCTCGAACTCCTTGCTGGAATCGAGCACGTAAGCAGAAAGCGTCTTTAGGCGGCGCGAAGTATGCGTCCAAAACAGCTTAGGCCTGCTTGTACGCGTCGCAAGCTGCGCCATATCCTGAAGCTTGGACGCCTTCAGGCAGCGTCTGCTTGTCGGCAGCCTTGTAGCAAGCTTTCAATCCCTTCACTTCAAGCGTGTTGAGCAGAAACGTCTTCTTTGCGTCTGGCGTAGCGTCCGGGGCCACCGCTTCAATGTACACTTGCAAGACGCGACGCCAAGTCTTCTACAGAATCAGAGGCACACCAGGAACGAAGGTAATGGAATTGCGGGGAACATGCTGCTGCGGAGACAGACTGGCTGCGGAGAAAATAAAGGTGGAGCCGCCCCATGTGTAAAGGTCTGGACTCTGCAGTCCCGTCAATCCGCCGAAATATGAACGTCTTGAACGTGAACCGCACAGCAGAAGAAAGTAGAATGAAGAATGGCTCATACTTCGGCAGGATAGAAGCGGAACAATGCAGATACGGTCTCAGTGGTCACAAACTGGTGATCCACAGAACTAAAGTATTGGTGGGCTGTATCTAGGGTACTGAACATGGTAACACTAGTAGCAAATAGTCGTGCGCCCATCTGGCCAGATGCCAAGGATTGTGCTGCAGACGCGACGCACGGAGAACACAGGGCACAGCGCTGGCCTACAAGAAGTACGCAGCAGCCGGTAGCCAAGCAGAAAGTCCATTTATATGACACAAGCGTGCTATCATATACGTATGTACAAAGACCATATATACAACCAGCAAGCCAACTGGTTCCAAAACCGGAACCGAAACCACGACACCACAATTTCGTCACCTGTTTTTATTTGTACGTGTTTTCACACATTGAAATGCTGCCAACATAGACAGAAGCTGAAGCTATGTCCCACCACTTAGCTGCAAAATGCCACAGCCACCACAGCATGCACCTTAATTATTTTTTCAAAGCTAACACAGTTTTACACATATACAGCTTATTTTTCCAAGCAGTCATTGCATCATCTCACAGTGCAACTAGCTTTAATAATGTTTTACTATAAGCAGTGGAGTTTTCTTTTCTAATAGACACTTAGTTGAAGATTCAGGGTGCCAGAGATCCTAGTGCTGTGCAATTTCATTGCAGATTAAAAAATACCAGGTGGTCGAAATTATCCTGAGCCCTCCACTATAGCATCTCACAGCCCGAGTCGTGTTGGTACATTACACCTCGCAAACAACCATCCAAACTAATGGCAATGGCCCTAGTAGCACAAAGACAAAGTCCTAGCCGCAAATGCTATGTCTTCAGTGTTTTTTGCCACGAGCCACAACCATGTGACAAGACAGTCTTTCTCTGTATATAGTGAACATAAAAATGTTTCTGCTGCTATTGATTTTGGGAACTGCTTTCCCGGGAGAAAGAACTCTAGCCTTTCCAGTATGTGGCACTCTGTACTTCTGTCCACTCTCCGCACCTCGAACAATGCCTGTTTCTATAATGATCCTAACCAGCAGTTTTGCCCTGATATCAATTGTAGTCCTTCATCACTTGGCCATTACTAAAAAAACACTTTCCACCGATTTATTTAAGGATGTTTACGACTCATTTAGCAATGATAATTAACCATCAGGCTGTTGTAAAATATAAGGGTTATTCCCTCTTTGGTCCCTCTGCCAAAGCATCATAGACTGTGGAGGCAGAAAAACTTCACTATAACGCTAGCCAAATGAGCATTTAAAGGTGATCCTCCACAATGACTGTAACTCTACGATGAAAAAATAAAATGATTTTACTGCTCGTGCAGTTATTGTAGTGACAAAAGAAACAAGCACTTCCATCAATAACTAATTGCTTGTTCATTAAAGGACACAGATAAAAATTTATTCTCAACGGAAAGTGTAGATAACGAAATGAAAGAAATACTTTTTAACTGGCACTGGGAGAACAGCCCATATTTGAGGGGCCTAATGTGCAAGCAGGAGACTACTTGGGATGGCTTGTGCACATTCGTGGTAAGGCAAATTCAAAAGATGTCATCTCAGTAAAGGCTCAATATGCATTACTTACGGATGGCATCAATACTTCTACCATAACAACTGGTATGTGCAATTCTTTGAGAACTGTGTTGCATTGCTGCAAAGTTCACCAGTGTTCTAGTTGACATTATGCATATGTGAAATGCACTGAGGATGATGGAAACAAAAGTATTTGCAGTACTTGGCCCTAAATGTCGAGTTCCAATCAGTGGCGGCTGTACCTTCTATACTCACTGATTGGCCAGAAACATCACAGGCAAGGAATAAGAAGTACGGTATGCTACGGGTTAGAATGCGATCTTGTGCAACGAGAACACCTATAGACGATTTTCCGCAGTGGTGCAGAAACGCTGCCATGTTTATCATGTGATCGTAACTGGCCTTCCCCTAGTCAGTTGCCCCAGTGCATAAGGCCAGCGGCCGTATCACACAAGCTGGAAGTCAACATGGCAGCATCCATGCAGACGCGACTGCCTGCTTCAATACAAACTTGCGCTTGCTACTTGCTCATTGTTTGCACAGCAATAAACAAATGGTGATATAGGGTATCGCTTCATGCTGTTGCACGTGGAAGCATCAGGTATGTTCTGTCTTTATTAATGAGATTAGCTCTGTATATTTAGCGGGGTCTGCTAAGCCTCACCTCCGAGACTGAATCTTGAAAATAATGCAAAATAACTGACAAATACATTGTTCTCGAAGCTTCAGGACATAAATATAAATCAAATAAATGTGTAGGTCGCAACTTATGGGCCACACAGTGCAGGATGACTACATGATGTTTGAGGTGAAAGGAAACTGCATCTACATACAGGTGTCACCATGTAGACTTTTCGGGCACTGCCACCTGCTCGCTTTTACTCACGTACACACAGATGCTATGGGGACGCTGAGCAGACGTTTGATGCTGACGGAGACATATTGAGCACTAGTGCCAAAGGCCACGACGTGGAGACGGCCACAGTAGAAGATAGCCACTGTGTGGTGGTGGCGCTATCTAGTTTTGACTAAACGAACCAGCTGCGGAAGATCATCTATATGACTTTTCTTCGTGTGAACTTACCCTGGTACTTGCACGAGTAATATCACAATTCGAGGCTTTACATGCCAATATCACATAAGGAACGCTGTCGCAAGGAATTACGTGTTAATTTTGACCACCTGTGGTTTCTCAGAAGTACCTATTTACAAGTCCAGCAACATTTTTGCATTTCTCCCACACTGAAATGCCACCATTATGCCCTCATTATAACCACGTACACTGAACTGTGCTTCTGCAGCACAACCCCAAGATTGGCACGTGTCAGCTCACATTCTTGAAAAAAGAAGCTTTTCAATAAGCCCCGACATGTGCCACACGGCTCATACCACACATGGCTTTAGACTTCAGCGCGAAAGCCACGAATGAAGGGGAGGCCTGTGCAAGTCTGCCTTTGGTATTGCACATAATCTTCACCAAAGAAGGTCAGCAGTGTTATCTCTTCCTCCTCGACCCTTGTCCTGAAAAACTTCCATGATGCAACAGCATAGGCCACAGTGCAGATTGGGTTGACTAGAACGACCTGAAAACACAAGGCCAGCAGATGAGGAAGCCTGCTTACACAGTCAAATGTTGAACATATAGTGCTGGCAGTTCAACATTTTAAAATCAGACCAGCAGAACATGAAAATAGCATATTATTAACGGCTAACTTTGCACAGTGAAAAATAGGTAATGGGTTTTAACACAGGAAAACGTGGTTTATAGGAGAGAATCAACCAGTCAGCTGGAGTTGTGTGCATCCATCTAGGCACATAAGTATTGCAGCCCTATGAGAACATAATAGTTTCCTGAATATACACTAGAAGGAACTCTGGTGCAGCTCCCATAGACCATAGAAGGTCTATGGGAGCTTCAATGCATGACACTTCAGCGAGCATGGGAGTTATGTGTAAGACATTGATTTGCCTTGTCTTCGTATTTTACGTTCGCTCTGGCTTCGCCTGGCTTGAAGCTGCTTTGTCACGAAACAACAATAGGCAAATGTTCAGCAGTTAAGCTTTACCATCTTAATCTTTTAGGCTTGTCTCTTCTGATAGGATCACGAAGTGAAAAAACGTTTGTTTTTTCCTTCGAGACAAAATTGAAATACAGTGCAGTCCACTTATAACGATACCACATATAACGATATATCGGTTATAACGATGGGTCGACTTAACAGTCTCATTTTATGCATTGGGGCTATGGGAAAAAAAAACATATATAACGATATGTTATCCACCGCATATCGGATACAACGATGAAAAGCTTGCCGTGGACGGCATGTTTCATTCAGAATAATCGTAACATTTATTTGATTGATAAGTTCCTCTGAAACGAACTATGCCGAGACAAGACGAAAAGTTAGCGTAGGCGAGTACGTATCTGCCGCCACTGCAGCACAGCGCCGGCAGCGCGTCCCGGCCGTTCAAAAAGCCGAGGAGAGCATCGCGAGTTGGCGCGACGCGCTACAGATGGCGCCAGCTGTGTCACGTTTTGCGCCTCGCCGCGCGTCGACCGCGGAGAGGCTGAGAGAATTTAAAAAAAAAAAATTGCGAGAAGCAAAGCGCCGCGCTCCGCGGCTCCCCGCCTTCTACAACGGCTCCCCGCCTTCTACAACGGCAAGCCGGCAAGCTACTCGTAGCTTGCCGAACGAAAGCGGAAAAGAGAGAGAAAATAAAAAAGCGAAAAGCAAAGCGGCGCGGCGGCATCGGGGCGGGGCCTTGTTGGCATTCCGGCTGTGTACCTCTGGCTGTGCTTTCTTCCTCCCACTGCTCCCACCCCGCCGTCGGTCAGTCTCTCTTCCTCAGCGAACCCGTGATGCGTTCTTCGGAGTAAGAAATAAAGTCTTGTTTTTGACATCCTACTATCTACAATATTTATTAATTGGTGAAAATAGCGAAATGAAGCCTGGAGCTACAAAAGGTACGTCCGGCGACGATTTTTTGGCGGCAGTCCAGATATAACGATCACCGGTTATAACGATCATATTTTTAGGTTTTCTCGATATCGTTATAAGTGGACTGCACTGTACAGCAATAAACGAAGCCACAAGAGCAATTCGCCACCCGCAAGCACAAAGACTAGGCAAATCCATGTTATATGCATAATAGAGTGTGCAATGGAAGTCCGAGGTGCAGTCACTAGACCGGACACTGGCAAGCTGACACTGGCAAGCTGTCCCAAGAGACAAAAAATATCATGAAAAGACGACAAACCACGAAAACCTCAATTGCAACAGACAAAAATGAGCTAGTGGAGATTTCGAAGTTAATCAATAAGCGTAAGGTAGCCGACATCAAAAGGTATAACACAGAAAGAATTGAGTAGGCTGTAAAAAGCGGCGGAAGCTTCAAAGTTCGGAAAGCAAACTTGTGCATAGGCGAAAATCTGATGTATGCATTAAGGAACAAGGAAAGCAATGTGATAACCAATATGAATAGGATAGTCGAGGGGGCGGAGGAGCTCTACATAGAGCTGTACAGAAGCCAAAACAACTAGTACGCTACCGTAAGAAGCGATAATACCCCAGAAGAATTAGACATCCTACCAGTAACGACAGGGGAAGTAATGAAAGCTCTAGAAAGAATGCAAGGAGGTAAAGCTGCTGGTGAAAATAAGGTAACAACGGTCCTCCTGAATGATGGTGAAGAAATTGTGATAAAAAAACTGGCCACCTTAAATACGAAGTGTCTCTTGACGGGAAGGGTACCAGAATCTTGGAGGAACACCAACATCATCTTAATCCACAAGAACGGAGATGTCAAGGACTTTAAAAATCACAGGCCGCTCAGCTTACAGCCCATTCTCTACAAACTATTTGCAAAAATAATAGCTAATAAAATTAGGGCGACATTAGAGTTAAATCAACCAAAAGACCAAGCAGATCATACTCATTCTGTCAATCAGATGATAGAGAAATGTGCGGAGTACAAACAAGCCCTATACACAGCCTTCATAAATTACGAGAAGGAATTTGGCTTAGTTGAGACATCAGCAGTGCAGGCACTACAAAATGAAGGCATAGACGAATCCTATGTAAACATACTGGAAGAAATCTACAGCGGATCCATAGTTGCCATAGTTCTCCATAAAGAAAGCGACAGAATCCTAATAAAGACGGGTGTAAGGCAGGGAGATACGGATCTTTCCAATGCTATTCACAGCCTGTTTACAGGAGGTTTTTCAGGACCCTAGATTGAGAAGAGTTAGGGACAAGAGTTAATCGAGAGTATCTTAGTAAAAATGTATTTCTCTATGGTACTTAGTATTTCTGTCAGAAATTTCTCCTTGTTGCATTTATATATATATATATATTTTATATTGGTAATGCAAATTGGTGACGACTGTAATGCGTTATTTTAAAACGTATGTGTCGACATCTGTTATACTTCCTGAATTTGAATTTTGTGTCCCCTCATTGAAGAGCAGAATGAAATTTGTATCCTTTGTTCCACTTCGCCTGAGCAAATGTATGGTTGGAGGGACCTTAGTCAGGCAGAGGTAATCTGCTTTTAGTCCCTTCAACATAGGCAATCATTGTTTTTGTCTGAATAAACAGTGAATGAATGAAAATGAATGAACCTGAGATTCGCTGATGACATTACCTTGATGAGTAACTCAGGAGACAAATTACAGCTCATGATTACTCAACTGAACACGGAAAGCAGAAGACTAAGTCGGAAAATTAATATGCATAAAACTGAAGTAATGTGCAATAGTCTTGACAAAAAACAGTGCTTTGTGACGTGTGGAGAGATGATAGAAGTTGTGAAGGATGATGATGATATGTGGGGTTTAACGTCCCAAAACCACCATATGATTATGAGAGACGCCGTAGTGGAGGGCTCCGGAAATTTCGACCACCTGGGGTTTTTTAACGTGCACCCAAATGTGAGCACACGGGCCTACAACATTTCCGCCTCCATCGAAAATGCAGCAGCCGCAGCCGGGATTCGATCCCACGGCCTGCGGGTCAACAGCCGAATGCCTAAGCCACTAGACCACCGCGGCGGGGCAAGTTGTGAAGGAATATGTCTACTAAGGACAGGTAGTAACCGCAGAAGCCATGAAAGTGAAATAACTAGAAGAATAAAGATGGAGTGGATCACATTCGGCAAGCATGGCAATATACCACTAACCCTGAAGAGGAAGATATATAACAGCTGAATCTTGCCTGTGCTTACCTATGTAGCAGAAACCTGGAGGCTAACAAAGCGAGTTCAGCTCAAATTGAGGACGAGGCAGCGAGCGATGGAAAGGGAAAGGGTAGGTGTAACCTTAAGAGACAAGAAGAGAGCAGAGTTGGTCAGAGAACAAACCAGGGTTAAGGATATCATAGTTGAAATCAAAAAGAAGAAATGGGCATGGGCTGGGAACGTAGTACGTAAGATAACCGCTAGTCATTAAGGGTACCTGACTGGATTCCCAGAGAAGGCAAACGCATGAAGAGGAGACAGAAAGTTCGGTGGGCCTATGAGATTGAAAATTTCGCAGGCGTAACATGACAGCAGAAAGCACAAGACCGGGTAGATTGGCTGATCGTGGGAGAGACCTTTGCCCTGCAGTGGGCTCAGTCAGGCTGATGATGATAATGATAAGGTTGGTAACTACTCATGGAGCATACAGATTGACAGGCATAATATAATGCGTTGCTGGGCAAGTTGGCACATTATATAAAAATAAAAGTAGAGTGCAAAAAAAAAAAGACACAGTAGACATGACAAGTTTCTGTCTACTTGTCTCCTATGTCTTGTCTTTTTTTTTTGTGTACTGTACTCTTATTTTTATTTTCTAATGGACATAAATATGACATCAGTGCTCCTTTAAAGATTTCTGCGATGCACGCCAGACACCTCAATATTACACTCGTGTTAAAACAGTTGCCATGTACTTGCAAAAGCTCAAATATGTTTAAAGAAAAGAGGACCTGAGTGCCAATGGACCACAGGAACCAGCCGACGTAGGATGGATGTCGACACAGGGCGTACACGCCGTGGGTGACCAGCACGTGACCCTGCTCTCGGTGGTTTTGTATGATGTGGTTGAAGTTGGTGCCCGCTGTGAGCATGGCTGCTTTTCGCAACCCTTCACCGACCAAACACATTGCAAGGCCCACGTAGCTGACCCACCACATTTGCTTCAGGCCTAGAACAAAAACGGCAACTTCTGAAACTCAACAATGCTGAAGAACTAAGTTGTGACACCAAATCATCACATTACAGTTGCATCTGAAACAAAAATGCTTTCCTTATGCCCTGAAATTCATTACAAACATATTTTTGTTGCCCTTTGCTAATGGCAACACACTTTCTCATTTACATTGTTATAGCATAAAATTCATCATATCCAAGTTTGTTAGATTTGTTATAACGGGCAACACAAAAAACCTGGCCTGTAATGGATGCTAATCAGTGTATCTGCCAAACGCTGTCCGCGTTCAGCAGAAACGCAAGAAGTGTCCGTGTGCGCTGCATGGAACGTCTGTCGGCATTGCTGGGATGCGCAGTTCGCGTTTGAGAAGAAGCATGTGCACGAACTGAGGATATAAAAAGCGTGTCTTGTGTACGCTCAGGGATCTCTCTCTGGCCTCCGCTTGGGCCTGTCATGTCTCTTGTAAAGACGCATCTAGATGTCTATAGTGTGTTGAACTTTTCTAAATATGTAAATAAATCCTGTGTTTTTGTCAGCAAGAAGCCTTGAAAGAGCTCTCCTTCCCCAGCACCTTGGTGAAAGCCTGTGCCCGTTCCTCGATCACATCAAATGAGGTTCTAGTATACAGTCTCAGCCAAAGGAATTAATACTCAAGCAAGGAGTTTTTAACTGAACTGCAGCAGCATTTCACCAAGTCTATGAACAAAACAGCACGTAATTTTGTCATTTATGTGGCTCAATCGTTTAGGAGAACAAAATTTCAAGTTCTTAGAATTTATGCATATACATTAGTCACAATGTCTGGTGTGTTTGGGGAGAACATATACAGTAAAACATCGTTAACATGAAGAATCTTCGAATCAAGTGAGAATTCGAATTAATGAAACACAAAAAAAGTGGTATGCAAGAAACTATTGAAAGTAATCTGCGGTCGTTGTCAGTTGAGCCGCCTACATTACAGCTCCAAGGGGTCATGTTTTTCAGCGATACCTGGATGCAACTGCGCTGAAACAAGGGGGAACAGGCAGCCCCGCTGCTTTCAGCATAGAAGTAAATAAACAAAAACAAAAAAGCGAACTTGTGATCAGCTAAAATGTGTGCCTGCGAAATAAGATGTGCTTCTCTGCAATACAGTAGTGACACGCAGGCAGCTCGTCATCTGCTCCCTGCAGCGTCAGCTACCATTCACCTACTCTTAATGGTAAAATAAATAATTTAATAATGTCCAGTGTGATGGAATTTGCTATGTGTTCTGGCTAGAAAATAAATAATCATTTTTTCTTTTTTGAAGTTCTCAAACTGAGTTTTCAAAGTGGGCGTTTTAGGCAAGAACTCCGCCAGCAGTGTAAATGTGCAATTTTTTGGAGCAACCACCAATGGGGGTTTCTCATACATTGCAAATTGCATCAGACTGACCTTTACTAATTTCCTTATATTCTCAGACCACAATGATGAAAACGTCTTATTAAGCAAATTAGAAAAAAATGGGGAGGGTTCCTATTCGAGGTCACCCATGGCAACCTCTGGAACAACCTAGGCTCGCAGAATGAGGGTCCGACGTATCGCTTGCATTTTATGCATTTCAAAAGTCGAGAAAAAAAAATGAAAGTAAATAGAGTAAAACAATGTATAAAAGTCATTTTTAAAAAAGACAAAATACATAAAACAGCAACCGGATTCACCAGAAAGTCACCTCATATGACAACAAAAAAGACAAATTAACATACTATGATTAGGTGGCAAGTCGTGCGTGAAGAAGATCTTGAAATTTGCTAAGACTGTGTTCCGTGGCAATGTCTGGTGGTAATGCGTTTGACTCTGTTATTGTGTATGGCAAAAATGAATGAGCATAATGTAAAGACTGGCAGTTTATACATTTGATTTTATATGTATGTCAGTATGTGTATGCTTTATATCAAGTGCACGAGTGGGACTATTTCTTTAGTTGCAGAGTTGATTGACTGCTGTGCTGCGGTCACCTCGGCAGGCTTCTCCAGACTTCTCCAGACTTCTAAAGTGGTATCTGACTTTGGTATCTAAAGTGGTATCAGGCATGAAGCTTTGCAGGTGCATGCCTGATGAACAATTTTTTTTTTTCCTTTCTATCGCATTGTAGCACTCTCCTTCCTAACTTCTTCCACCTTCAATTCAATGCATTACTTAGCAGAGCGACACTTGTGTTTCTGCAGGTAAAACTGATGGCAGGCCTGTAGCTGCAAAGAGTGCCATCGCCCCCCCCCCCCCTCTTGCACCAAGAAAAAGCAAAAAAGCAAGAACCTGAGGAAAATCGGTGTTTTAGTGAAAATAAGTGAGGACGATAGGTGTTCTAAAATAGTCAAGGTCTCTAGCAAGCACGCCCCTCTCTTTTGAAAAATATTTCTGGCTACGGGCAGTATTGAGAAATAAAATTGATTGATTTGATATGTGGGGTTTAACGTCCCAAAACCACTATATGATTATGAGAGACGCCGTAGTGAAGAGCTCTGGAAATTTAGACCACCTGGGGTTCTTTAACGTGCACCCAAATCTGAGCACACGGGCCTACAACATTTCCGCCTCCATCGGAAATGCAGCCGCAGCAGCCGGGATTCGAACCCGCGCCCTGCGGGTCAGCAGCCGAGTACCTTAGCCACTAGACCACCGCGGCCGGGCTGTGAAAAAAAATATATATATATAATGTATGACTGTCATGCGTGAAACCATGAAATGCATCAGTGAAAGACATATGCCCTGATGTAAAATGACAAGTGACCTTAATAAAAGCTACAATTTTGATACCGAAAAACGGTTGATCATCGCAAGCCTATGATCGAGACATCAGTTATCGAAAATCAGCAGATCGAACTACGCGTGTGACCTGTGCACCTTGCGGGGACTCATTTGTGCACTGTCAAAAGTACACTGGCTAGCATCGAGTATTTTTGCAAAGCGAAGCCACCACTGAAATCTGTAACTCTATAACTTAAAACACAAACCTTCAAGCCATGCCGACATGCTCAAATATTTACTCTTTCTTTCAGCGATCTCTTACTGGAACGAATTACCTAATGTTGTTGTGAATTATAGCACTGTGAAATCCTTTGTTACCAAAGTGCAAACCAGTCACTTGTGTTTATGATTGCCTTCTTTTTTTCTTTCTATTATCTCCCTACGACCACTCCTGCAACTGTTGTCTGAGCCAGCAGTAAGCTATTATAATATTAATAAAAAATAATTAAAAAATGAAAAGAAAGCACTGCCCTGAAAAAGCCAGCCGCATGCACAAGACTTGAAAAGAAAGAATTTGGCTTGGAGGTTAATTCTCTTGGTTGGAACGATAAGGCATGCTTCGCTCATCAAAATCAAGAACAAGTCGCAATTTCAGCCTAGAGGCAAAGCGACAGCAACACAGTAAAACCCAACTACTATATAAAACTCGGGTAAGTCAGAATATACTGGGTATTTTGGTACTTTTGAACACAAAATTTTCTTATAGTTAATGCATAAAATCTAGGCTGCATGAACCGAAAGTAGCTGGAACACTTCATACATCAAGAACGGGGCAGCATAAAATGCCCAGGAAGTTCACTTTCCTTGCAAAAGGGGATTTTCCTATACGTGTTGATGACTAGGAGAGTGTTGCATGGAGCAAGTGAAATCTACCATTTGTCATCACATTCTTTCTTTTGTGACTCCTCATCACCATGCTCATGGGCTTGACCTGCGCGGCTGCTGTGTGCTTCCCGACGACTTACAGAACTAATGATAACCAAAAAAGTGGAGCATGGAGAGACGAAGTCTCACATCTCTGCTGCGTACTGCATCTAAGGAAGAGTGCCGAGTACAATATTGAAAAACAAGGATGACGTTAATGCCAAGGCCGTCTAGAGCTTTTTGGTGCCCAACAAGTACGCACAGCTGCATATATAAATATGTTGAGAGGCTGTTTACATCAATACCCCCTTTCTATATAACCTGTGCCCCATTTACAAACCAGGGAAAAGAGAGAGGGGAAAAAAGATACATAAACTAGACCCCGTTTTCTTACGACTTGTATAAATGCGGGTTTCACTGTAGCACTATTAGACATCTGCACGAAATGAAGTTTGGAGTTTTATAGGTCATAGGTCATAGTTTTATAGGTTACACTACCCTAAGATTAATGAGCATGACGTCAAATGCACAAAGACAAACATGTCTCAGCTGATGACAACAAACAATCAGTATTCACAGTGTTGATGCCAGCTCACCAGGCGTGATGAATCTCTCGATGAGAAATTCTAGCCAGCTGCATGCCGCTGCAACACCATATTCTCGACTGTGGTTCAGCAGGAATGAGTCGAGCGTCAGTGCCTTGGGGTTTGTGACTGCCGTGACAAAGTACTCGGAGAAGTGGAAGCCACTAAGCAGCGCCAGGTACCAGCCAAACACTCGCCACGAGGGAGGGCCATGGACACTGGTGAGAATGCCAAGCCCCATCCCGGTGCCAAGCAGTGCTGCTCTCCAAACGACCTGTGAGAAGAGCAATTTCTCCATTTTAAAGTACAATTTCACAATTTCAAGGACGCCACTCTTACGACAACACGACACTTGGTATGCTCGAAAACACACAAAAAGAAAATGTGAGTGGCAATGCCATTTTGAGATTCCCACACAAAACACCATGACGTAAGAAATTCGATAAAGATGAAATACATTGTAACCTTTGGGTGCCATGTATGTTACATACAAAGTTTCACAAAAATTTCATTGAGACAATGGCACAAAAGTACCGAAACTACTCTGGAATTCCTTACAAAACGCGTGGAGACTTTGGCACTTAATTAAAAGTCAAACTTGACCCCTGATTCTCTCCACCAATAATGAACTCATAATAGTGAAACACGTGCTGTTAGAATTCTCAGAGAGCAGTTAGTCAGTATATTGCTCCTCTTTAGTGTCCCTTTAAGCTAGTGGAGCAGCCAGGTCAGCTGGTTTGGGCATGCAAGCTTCTCCTAAACTGTTATAATTTGTATATGGACATATACGTGCACACACAACCACGCATGCATAAAGGGAGCTCGCACACTACATCCCCCCCCCCCCCCCCTAAAAAAAAGGTTTCTGGCTACATTGCTGGCTGTAGCAGCGACTGACTTGGCACCAACAACATTCCTCAGGAGAAAAATGAATGCTTACCCCATTGAAATATATTTACCTCCATGTGTGGCTATTTCTATAAAGCTTATTAATGGAACACATTGAAGAAGCATTCTTTAATCAAAGCATCAATGCCACACCCTATTATAAAATTAGGATGTTGTTTGCCTTTTTATAATTTGAAGATGGTATACCGCTCTAGGAGGAAGTTTACAGGTTTAGAAATATTACGAAACATGTCTAGAGGAGCAATCAATTCATAATACATAATTTTATTCATTATAAAAAAGAAGAAACTCATCGGTACTGGCCCCCACCACAACTTGTACATGACAAAGAAACAGTTAATTACATGTCGGTTATTATTAATTTGGGGGGGGGGGGGCTGTTTTATAACTGATCAATTACTTTTTCTTCGTAACACTTACAGCAGTTTATTTTTCAGTAAGAAATTAATAGTATTTTACAGTGATCAAATATAGCATGACAGCTACACACGGAGCTTTGGCAAGCTAAATGGCTGCCCTATTGTATAGATTAACAAGTGATACATGCGTGCGTATATCACTTGTTAATCCTTCCTCAAGAGGAAGGTATATAACAGCTGTATCTTGCCAGTACTTAGGTACAGAGCAGAAACCTGGAGACTTGTAAAAAGGGTTCAGCTTAAATTGAGGACGACGCAGCGAGCAATGGAAAGAAAAATGGTAGGTGTAACCTTAAGAGACAAGAAGAGAGCAGAGTCGATCAAGGAACAAACGGGGGTTAAGGATATCATAGTTGAAATCAAGAAGAGGAAATGGACATGGACCATGCATGTAGCACGTAGACAGGATAACCGCTGGTGCTTAAGGGTAACTGACTGGATTCCCAGAGAAGGCAAGCGGGTTAGGGGGAGACAGAAGGTTAGGTGGGCAGGTAAGATTGAAGTTTGCGGGTATAAATTGGCAGCAGCAAGCACAGGACCGAGTTAACTGGCGCAATATGAGAAAAGCCTTAGTCCTGCAGTAGACGTAGTCAGGCTGATGATGATGATGATGACATGCGTGCATGTGCCTTCGATAGAGCTTCTTCCCAGCTTCCTCCCAGATTTTTACAGCAATACCTGTCACATGACTTAAAATAATTGTGTTTGCTTAGGTGAGGAAACAAATGTATCATTGCAGGCGACAGCTAACTTGGGACACTTTGTTCTAGCCAATGCAGACAGATACTGAAGGAAATTCACTTCAGAACTGCCGAGTGAGCCTTTGTGCTTTTTTTTTTTTCATTTTTCGATGTCTTTTACAACGATGCATTATGACCTGGTCTATATGCATCTAGAATTTAAAAAAGTAAAACAAAAACAACAAAGAACATCCAATTCACTAAAAATACCGTGCAGTTTTGCTAATCGTGAACATTGGCACCAGCAATAATAAATACTTTATTCGTATTCTAACACTGGAAAGCTTGGTACTCAAACAGGGCACAGATTTTATTTCCAGAAATACAAGGGTTCTGGCAGATACTATTGGCTAAAAGCTGTTGGCACCGGTGGTTTGTTACAAGGCATACGTGGCGGTTGTATGAAAAAAAAAATAACCTTGTTAGAAACTCAAAAATAGGTTACATATTCCCAAAAATATACAAAACCGGATTTGAATATTATAAAGAATAATGAAAATAAGTTCGATGCACAAGAAAGCAGAAATATATGCGAGAGTTAAAAGAAATCATACACAACTGGCTCTGACAAGTGAAAGGGACCCGCTCTCTGGATTTCGTGCCGACCGGTTGTGCCCCCGTGATCTCCGACCACAGCGCAGCTCTGGCCGACTGGGCTCGCCTTATGCCATATCCTGACGCCGACAAGAGTTCTCGCTGAGTGGCGCCCCGTCCTCAGACTCCTGCAACCGTGTCTATCTTTCCTATCTTCTCTCTACTTCCCTCGTTTTCTGTCGTTCGCTGTCCCTGCGCCTTGCTTTCTCCTTTCACTCTCTATATATTTATCTTTTAATCCTATCCTTTTAATCCCTCCTTACCCCCCCATCCGTCGTGAGCAACTGTTGAGGTGTTGCACTCTGATGCAGACAGTTACGGGGCTCACTTTTTTCTTCCTTTCTCTTTAAGAACCATATACAATAAGTGAAAGATTGAAAACAATAAGTGAAAAAGTAGAAAATATGTTCAATCATCACATGTTTACAAAATGCATCCGAAGTTCCCTTGCTGAAAAGTATTTGACACCTTTATATTGATTTAAAATATTTTGCAAGTTGTGCTGTAATGATTGTAGGCTATATTTGTAACAAAATCTAGAAACATACCACATGGTATTGCAGGGGCGTAGCCAGAAATTTTTTTCCGGAGGGGTTCACACCAACCCGATGGGGGGGAATCAGCTTTTCTTTGTGACATTACTATCAAGGGTAGTTTGACCAGGTTGTATACATGTACTGGTAAATCAAAGTGATGAGACTCCCGCCCCCTCTCCCCGTGGGTATGCTTGTGAAGAGAGTAAGTAAAAGTAATCACAGTAAATGACAGTGAAAGACATGTGATTGATTGATACGTGGGGTTTAACGTCCCGTGAATTACCATATATGATTATGAAAGAGTTCGTAGTGAAGTGCTCCAAAAATTTCGACCACCCGGGGTTCTTTAATTAGATCACAAGGGCCTATAGCATTTTTGCCTGCATCAAAAACATCTGCAGGTCAGCAGCCGAGTACATTAGCCACTACACCATGGCGACTGGTGCAAACGACAGGTAGAGTGACCATTTGGAGCAAATGCCTCTCATTGCAACATTGAACGAACTAGTCTTGGAAAACGCATCGTCACGATGACCCGCCTGAACGAAGAAGACATTGTTACTTGTTAATCTCTGTTAAACGTAGATGGCATAGTCTTCGTTCTTATTATTGTTCTTAATTTCACATGATAACATGTCCACCCATGTTAATTCATTCTGTGCATTTCTTGTTGTGTATTCTGTCTCTAGTTGCAGAAATCACTCTGTGGGCCCATCTAGTCATGCCAATGTAAAGAGACGAACATACGAAGCGAATCAATATATTTTTAATATGTCGTAAATTTTTTCAGCATTAGTTATGTTCCTTATTCTAGCACTGGTTGCTACACTGCTGAACAATAAATCTTATGCCGACTACAGCTGCCCACAGAGCATTTCTTATTATGCTGCTTTAGGTTTATGACCACCAGGTCGCGGGACTGAATCCCGGCTGCGACGGCTGCATTTTCAATGGATGCGAAAATGTTACAGGCCCATGTGCTAAGGTTTGGGTGCACGTTAAAGAACCCCAAGTGGTCTAAATTTCTGGAACCCTTGAGTACGGTGTTGCGGTTGAAAGGAGGAAGTTCGCTGGAGGATACGAAAACAAAACAGGTTTATGGCACTATTTACACATATTTACAGCAAAGAAAGGTTAGTGGTTTCACAAACCACGAGCGTGATGGTTGAACCGTTACGTGGTTCAGAGCGACGTCCAGCACTTTGCGGCGTCGTTTTAAGCCCTGTCAGGCTCCTCCTCTCCGAGTGGAACACCAATCACACACACACAACAGGTGAGGGGGACGAGCATACACGGCCCACGTGAACGTTCAATATTGAGTCGTGAACACTGCACTGCAAGGTGGCGCCAGCAGGGCTCTTCCTCGTCGTGTGTGTGCCGCTAGTCGAGAGTTCCCACGATCCTGACAGCGTACATCAAATGGTCCGCCGATTTGTTCGCTTAATTAGCGGGGCGATTTGCGGCGGCCGCCACGGTCTCTTCCAGGAAAATGCTTCCTTTGTTGTCCTCTCTGGAACTGTTTACGATGTCGTGGCGACACGACGTCTCATCCTCCGGCTAGCAGGGACAATGCCTGGTGGGCATAGGCAGCCGGCCGGTCGGCTACTTGATTGGGGATTAAAAGGAGCGCCGCTCTCCTGTCAGCTCTGGCGCCGGTCGCAAATGCTTCCCCGTCGCCAGATGAATTACCGAGGGCATCAGTCACCGCTTCTGCTCGAAGATACGACAAAAGGGTTCGCAGTTGAAAGTCAGGAACTCGCCTTCGCTTGTCACATGGTCTGGGTAATTACTCAAATCTTCGACAGCGTCTGGCAGACTGGGTGCCGAAGGGATTGAGAGCTTCTCCAGTGGACCGGCTTACGCACCATGGCGTCTGCCCAGATGAATTTCCAGGCCAAACTTAACAACGGCCTCTGTCATAATGATATGGTTGTTTTGCGATGTTAAACCCCACATTATATCAATAAAGCAATGACGTTTATGGCTACCATAATTTTAGTTATTAGCTTAAGTTACATGATGAGTATATATATTAGTAGGCCATTCTAAGGTTGTGATTGGCCTGCACATTTGCCTGTATTACACCTTTGTCATTAGACACTTCCATTAGACAATATATCGTACAATATATCATTAGACAATATATTGTACACTCGCATACAAGCAAAGTCCAGTGGGTGAGCCAAATATTCTGTGCGGTGAATAAGCCAAATATACGATGAATGAGCCAAGTATTGTGTGCGGGCGTGTGTGTGTGTGTATGTGTTTAGATGTTAGCACAAAGTGCGAAGGTTCAATTGAAATGTTATTCTCTGGCTTGAGCATATCTTAGCCCACGTGCGAAGAGTCAAAGTGTAATATGCTTCAACGTGCCGTTAAACTGTGTCTGGATTTTACCATTAAAACGAATCTTTGCCCAGTTAAAATCATTGTAGTGATCGACTCCGGCGAGATCTGTTCCGGCGGGTACACGTATGACCACCGCTGCAGTATTAATCCTGACGCCAACTTACAACAATCGCGGCCCAGATTCCTGATCAAAATTTTCGAGTGTCAAAGCCCTGACAAAAACCGCGACACGTTTTCCCGTGTGCAAACATTGTAAACGTGCCCAAGAATGATATTGTGACGCTAGCACCACTTGGTTTCTAAATCATGTCAGCGCGAAGCAACAAAACAAAAATGTGGGGAAATGACAATGGGGGGGGGGGGGGGGGGGTCGCGCGAAAAATTTCGGGGAAAGGTTTGAACCCCCCTTGGCTACGCCACTGTGGCATTGGCATAGAGAACTGTCCATGCAGGGCTTACTCAAGCGGGAACACGTAAAATTTACGAAGCTATAAATGAAATTGTACTGCCTCGATCGACTGCGCTTCTAAGCAAATCGTTGGGCCGACACACTGTCAGAGAAAGCGCAACACGATCGGTGGAGCAACTGCTCATCGCAGTTCGCGCAGCGCAGTCGCAACCAAGCGAGAAATTGATCACGAAACGGGCATACCTTGTACGCATTTCCGCGGGGTTTGTAAAAAATGTACAAGGCCAAGTGAATACACGTGGAGTACGCCGCAGCGAGCAAGAGCCAGTAGTCGTCGACAACATAGTGAAGTAGCCGACTTAATGCCCCACAGAACGAGATGAGCACGACACTGGCCGCTAAACAACAACAGTACAGGCTAATCCTGCCATTCGTGCTAAGCGCCATGATTGATGCATTTGGGTCGCCGCCCACGCTCCCTCGTGCCTGGTAATGTAAGTTGTGACAACAAGCATTGCTCATATGTGCTTAAAATTAATTACGTATAAATATATTTTTTACAATTTGAAAACAACCACTTTGTTAACTTTTACTTCTACTTTTGAAAAGGGTGAGACGTATTTTACTCTGACGTAACTTCCTGGCATGAAGCTTTTGCTTGGCGGCGGTTCTTGCGCGTTGTGTATTTTTAATATTTGTGGACATTGTGGTTGTGCGTATCCAGTACAAAGAGTGCTTAGCGGCATGAGTCACTGTTAGGAAGCCTTTAGCAACACTTTGCACGTTGCTGCGCCCTTCCTGGTTTTCTACATGGATATTTAGCCCCGGTGCGATACTTTCGAAGTAAGTTCTGCAAAGTTTTCATCGCTTCGACTTTCTTTCTGCTTTCTGTTTGTGTGAGACTCGCCGTGTAGTTGTAGCTCCGCGCTGTTGCATCCCAACGAGGGGGATGCTGGAATATTTCGCCTTTTCTAATGTTCTTCACTCGCGGTTGTACTGACACGCGCCCTTGCGATGCTTGGCGAGCGAACAAGTTTCACTGAATGCAGTTCTGCGAGTTGGCGGAGACACATCCGCGAGCTGCGCGACCAGTTTGGCGTCTAAACAAGAACAGTGTGTGTGTTCGGTGCTTGCTCGCTCGCGGCGAAATGTTTCTTCTCGTCTGGTCGAGTGTCCGAATGAGTTCACTGTTCCCGCACCACGTTGCGAATGGACGTCGCGAGGAGCGCATATATATCCTCGCAATTTCAGACTGTTCGTCGACTAGCGTAGCGCTTGCCGCACAAAGTTCCGCCAACTTTGTGCGGCAAGCACAGTTCCGTAATCGAGACTGTGCAGTTCTGCGCGACAACGAGAATCTGACTGCGCTGACACTTGGAAGAAGCGTATATGTGCGACCCAGCATGAGCCAGAAAATGTGGTCACTGCTTTTCGCCAGAGCAGCTCGCGAAGCGTCTGCGTCGTCGAATCACGCGTTGACGTACGCTGACCGATGTCCCGTGATTTTGCTGTCACTCGGTCGTCATGAGTTGCTACTTCGTGCGTGCCCATTCGGCCCTCCGTAGCCATTCCGCTGCTCGTACGGAAATTGTCGTTTTGTATTTCCCTTGAGCGATCACCTTTACTTTTGCTATGTCCTCTTAGCTTTAAAAGTTCCCCATTAATTAAACTGCTCATCTAAGTCGTTGCTAAAGTTTGAGCTTTGACCGCCCGCATCAGTGCTGCTTATGTGGGAGGTTCGTCGAAAGATGTTTTCAAATAGCGTACGCTAAGTTAGCGGGCGTTGCGTTTGCGTATGGACGCCATACGAGTTCTCGTATAGCGTTTGCCCCCGCAAAAGCTGGCACACGCTCGTTTACCGCAAGGGGGCTTTGCGGGCTGCACGCTATTTCGGATTTTTTGCGGGTGGACCGCAAATGGTTACGGTGGTTAGCGTTATGACGCATGCGCAGTGGCAGCGACCGTAACAAATAGCGTACGCAAAGTCTTGCTTACGCTATTCGAGAACTCCCTAGAAATAACGGTGCCTCGACGTGCTGCATGGCACGCCCAGTGGTCCTCGTCGCCAAATCCTCCCCCCCTCCCCCATGTCTCGATGACCGCAAATAGCACGTTGGTGGGTTGGATGCACACTAGCAATGCAGAGTTGTCATTCTGCTGCTGATATGGCGCGCGAAGGAACTTGTGTGGCCATCATCTGCTTTTATGGGTAGTAAGTCGATGTGAACACAACGGGAAGAGCAGCAGCCCACATTCCACAAGTTGTGTTCTGGCATCTCGATTCGTGGTCAGCGTAGGCCGTTTTTTTTCCCCACCGAAGTATCGAAGGTACAACCTCCCCACTGCAGTGACCTCGTTGTGTGAAAAAATGTTGCTGAATTCTCGGCACCGGGCAATGCTTTCGCGATTTGGCGAGATCATCAAAAACCGGAAATCAAGGAGCATGCACTACTGGCCATGTAATAGACTAATTGAATTACTTGCAAATTTGAGGAAAGAAGTTGTACATAAGGGCTCATTGTTTAGTTAGATGTATTACATACCATCTCCTTGTTGTAGGAGGAAGAAAAATGGAAGGACAGGGATGTTAGCCATTTCTTGTTTTGTGGTAGAGTGTGCATAGGCCAGGCAGGACGGTCAAAAAAACCTGAAATGTCCGTCACATCAGCGGGAGGAGGCTTGCCCGCTCGACTGCAGAGTGTGAGGTCGCTCGCCAGTTTTTAACGATACCCAGCAATGAAATAAATGCGAGAGCAAACAGATGGCAAGCATTTATCAAATGCCATGATATGCGGGAGGGAGCTGGCTGAAGTATATAGAATGCAAAGAAAAAAAAACATGGTCCTGAACGTGTACCTTCTATAGCGTTATCATGAAAAGACTCTGATCAACTTTTTAGAGAAATGTAATTTAGAATGTATCATGCTCTACATTAAATATTTATGGTTTTTGCAGTGTATGGGCACGTGTTGGTTATCTGATTGTCTCATGTGCAGTATTTTCATCTGTACTAGCTGCATCACGTGTAGCGCATGTGCGTCTTGGTTTTCCTTGCGAACCGTGTTGCTTCATTAAAGAGTTGCTAAAGTGTTGATGTGCGCGCGTCCTTGAAGGCTGCGTTCGTTGTTCTTTCAAATGAAACGCCAGCAAGTTACCGCCATAAATCTTGTAAAACATTTGCAAACATGGTACAAAAAAAAAAGAATACTGCACATATGTGGAAGCAATAAAATACACTCAACATACTTACCGTGGTGGCACGGTGTCCTGATGCATGTTCGATCACAGCCGCCATACCCGCTATTTGACGAACGCTAAGCGGGTGGTCAAAACTTCCCTGGAAATTAATAATGTACTGTACATGACTTGAGATAAGTACCCCCCTTGCCCCATTTCTTTTTCACATTTTCAGTATGCATGCTCAAAAACGAAGCATTTACGAAACATTGGCCAATTCTCTTCTAGTAATCTCATATGTAATTTTCTGCAGTTAGTGCTAAAAGCTCTGAATTTCAGCTAATTAAGCAAAAAAAGATGCAGTAAAGGGCTTTTTGAACTTGGTGTCGGTTTCCATGCCTTCGGCGGCGCCGCTGGAAAGTGGCCGTGTGCCGCGGCCGATGATTTACCCAGCGTGCGCCGCCACCGGTCGAAACTGCCTAGGCGCAGACTTCTATCGATATGTACGGCCCCTGAGCTTGGAAGTTGTACATTTTTTAGGCCACGTATTCAGCCAATACACGCAGGCCTGCTAGTCTTACTGATGGACTTGAGTATGGCGCTCAAAAACGGTACGAAGAAATCTCGCCGCTTCTGAGGAACAAGCTAAGTCAAATATAAGCATCAGTTGGAAATTTTCGGGTCACACAGAGCACGGTGACGGCTTGATAGATCCGAGGCGGGTGGCAGCAATTTCGGCAGCAGCAACGATGCTGTTACGTAGCGGGAGTCGCTGGCAGTCGTGCGCAGGTTGGTTCTCCATTCATCGGCTCACTTCTGGCGTCGGTGCTGACACTACAGATATCCTAATCATTCAGAAGTGGACGTTTCTGCCACCACCACAGGCAGCATCACCATGCCCTGCAGCCTAGAGAAAGAGAGAAATAACGTTTATTTGCACTTGTCTAGAATGACGAGGTAGGAGGCTTCGGTCTCTGCCCCCGATCATCCCCCTAGCCATCGGCCGGAATCCCTTGAGACGCGGTGGCGGTCAGGGCTAGACCAATGACGACGCTGTTCTTCGGCGTCGCGGCGGCTGTATATTAAGGCCTTCGAGGACTCTGTTTCTACTTGGATCATTGTAGAGTGGGCATGTCCAGACCATGTGCACTAAACCTGCAGTGCTATTACAGTGCCCACATCTGGAATTAAACACTTCCAGGTGCCATTTATTGTGCACGTGAGGGTTCGGAAACGCCCCAGTTTGTAATTTTCGCCACATAATTTTCTCCTTTTTATTCAGCTGTCAGTCAGAAGTTTGTGCCATGTAGCTTAATCAAAACTGGCTGATATTTTTAAGAACCTTTGCTTTGTTCCTGCAGCCATCAATGCAATAAGTGCTGTTCGGGTATCTAGTTTTTTGAAACCAGTGACGCAATGAAGGCCTCAAATGAAGAGTTGGCAAGCGCCTGCGTCCTCTTAGAGAGAGCTTGGGAAATGCCGTCATGGGAAACCGGAGAACACTTGGAGTGCTGGAAATATACGCACGGATGTTTCTTCCGTCTTGGCAATGCGCCTACCGCATGTGGAAATCAAACCTTCTAAACACACAGTTGGGCGGAGTGGGCGTATCCTGCCGAATTGTAGTCCAACGCTGTTGACCGTGATCAGTTACTCAGGTAAAACACGCTCCTGCCATGCCGTAATTCGACTGGCCTACATTTTATTGACGTGGTGGTTGTTTTTATTCGTTGAGATGTGTGGTTCAAGCAATGACAGAGGAACACTGAGCAAACACAAAACAGTTTTTCGTTTATTCTTTTATGTGTGCCTCGTCTTGTATTTATGCTGTTTATTGTTATGGATTCATACTAACAGGCCCGGCCAACCACGCTTTTTGAAAACTGCACTTTTTGGGAAAAGCAAACAAAAAAATTGTCCCCGTATCTGCATGTTCGACTACAAATATTGTCAAAAAACGATGGTCCCCTGTCTGGAAAGAGTGAATATAATAAAGCATTTATTTGATGTTTTGTGCGAAAAAATCGGTGAATGGAATTCTGGAGGTGCTGCATTAGACATGAGCGCCAACTGTCGGTAATCTCAAAAAACGAAACTTGGAGGCCATATTTTGTAGATTTCAAAGAAGTCAGTAGCACCATATCTTAGCAAAGCGTAGGAAATTTTCCTTTTACTGCATAGCGTCACATTGTCAGTGCAGCATAACAAATGCTAAATTTCTTAGCATATATTATGTATGCCTTTTCTAGCATAAAGAAACCATTGAATATTGGCGTGTTGACATGTTACTACTTCAGATATGCGCAGTATTTGCTTTTAAATCGACAATCGCACACATTTGAACACAGAAACATGGGAAATGTTGGTGGGCGCTCTGGATGTGGTCAATCTTGAACCGTTTCACTTAACAAACTAACGGGCAGACAGACAAACCGAAATTTTTGCGATGAAGTATGCCAAGAAAGAAAAAAGAATGGCAGCATATCCACAGGGTGAATGATGGGGAGTGTGGTGAAGCATCCGTCCGTCCATTCGTTCTTGTTTCCGTACGTCCATGCATCCGTCTGTGTGATCGTCCGTGCGTCCACACGTCCATCCGTGTGCCCGTCCCTGCGTTCGTCCATGTATCCGCCCCAGTGTCTGTTCATGCGTCCATCCGTCCATGC